GCGCGCTTTAGAAGATGTTCGAGAAAGAATTTTTCATTGTTAGTTGACCTTAAGAGAGGAAAGTACGTGACGGAAAAGGTCAAAGGTTGCTACTTGTCTTTCAATGTAAGTCATTCAGGTTTTGGCGATTGAGGGTCCGGTTGTTGGCTAAGTGAAGAAGGGCGCGCATGCGCGATCACCCTTATTTCCGCATTCTGGAGTTGAAAACGAAGATTTTGCCATAATTAAGGGGGCGATAAGTGAAGCCATAGTGGGAGCCCGTTTGGTGAAGGACAAGAAGGAAATTTGAGTTGGACACTTACTTTTGGCTGACTCTGGGACTGACTCGCTGATTTTTGGGCTTGCTGGACAAAATGTAAGTGACTCCGAGAGGTGTTTTCCGGCGGGGAGCGGCAAATATGCTCCCCGGCCGCGTTTTGGTTAAGAGGCGAGACTCTCTTACACACTTACTCTGGACACTCTTACTTTTGGACTCGCGCACTTACTGGTTGGCTGGACTTGTGGATGTTACTCTGGAACTTACTTGGGACGTTACCCGTGAAGCTTGCTCTTGGGATGAGTAAGAACAGGTGAGCCGTAATTTCCTAGCAACAAACGTTTCTGACCGGCGGAAATTTGAAACGAGTTACCTGCGTGTTGACATAGGACTTTCAGGACCAAGCGGATAGCCGTCCTGGGCAGCAGTGCTCTGTTTCTGTTCTACAGTAGTGAAGTGGGTCTACATTTTTAGAACCAGTTGTCAAGATGAGCCCGGCCGACATCAACGCGGGATAAGATAAGAGTCCTCCGCTTTCAAGATGTCCCTTCAAGATAAGTTTTATTTTTTTTGGTGTGTTTGAACTTTAGGCAAGCTTTTCAAAAACGTCCTTAGCAGAAAAAAAAAACAACGTCAAATCTAAAATTTAACTCTCAGGCCCTTAAATTGTTTCCCTTTCCTTCTTTAAAATCACCAGACAAACCTTAAGTTTTTTTTTATGAATTTAAATGAACGACTCTCAGATGAGGTTAAGATTTTTCTTATTGTGTTGTAATTGAATAAACTGATATTTAATCTGGAACCTCTTACAGTATGTTTTCTTTATATATTTAATATGAACTTTTCCTTTATATCTTGTATATGTTTTATGTTTTCGATCCTCTCACGGCGCGGTCCCGGAATGCATTTTTTTCACAACGCAAAAATGCTGTACACGTTTCACTATACGATCACTCCCTTTAACGGCAAGTAGTTTCATATTTAACATTTTATATGAATTTAAGATATAACATTGGTGCCGTGAAGTAAGATTCATAACATTATTTCCCGGCGTGAACTTAAGCAATTTAACAATAGCGGAACAATATGGGTTCCACAGGCTACGCTGTATAGCTGGTGGACAGTAGTCCACCAACTATACAGGGTGACCGAGATGATCTCTTCAGGCCCGCAGAGCAGAGCCGTCACTGGAGCAATATCCCTGGATGTAGCCAAGGCCTTTGACTGTGTTTGGCTGGAGAGCCTCATATACAAGCTCATAGCTCTGAGTTTCCTAGGCTAAATCACAAACATCATTCGTTCCTATCTAACAGACACTTTATCGTTCGTGTTAAGTGTTAACACACTATCCGCTCGCCTAGTCCATTGAGAAAAATGCACTAGGCTATGGATGTCGTCATGTAAACAATATAGGCAGTAAACCAGAAATATATGAATGTGTTTTTGAAATGAAATACATAAATAGGAAATTAAGAATATATCCGTAATGAAATTCAACAATATCGACGAGAAAACATAGGAAATAAGCAAAAGCTTAGTAAAATACCTAATAAAACAAGGTACTTCTTTGTTATAGAGACCCTCGGAGGAGATAGAATCTCCAATGAACCCTGATATCTCGCCAAAATATGGCTGCGTGTTCTTATACCTCGGCCAGGTGATCGTATATAGCACATGCTGCGTGTTCTTATAACACGTTAATCTTCTGCGTGTTAATAAGGCTTTCGAATTCTCATTGTTTATTTAAAAATATATTCAATGCTTTTTATGCAATTTATGTATTCTTAGGCAAAGGAATTGACTTCCATGAAATCGTGTAACAAACAGCGTAATATGTGTGAAAGTGCTGCACTTGACTGGCACAATTACATGCGATACAATAATAATAATAAGGATAAGGATTCTTAAAAATATTCTTAGGATACGACATGTGATAATATTGTTATTATTAAACACTGTAGAGATTATTTTTACATTCGCGCTTTACGAACTTGGCGATATTGTAGCTGAGATCTTGGCACAAATTTAAAATCTCCAGATATGGTTGGGGGCCTCCAGTATAGCCAGATATGGAATATTTGATACTTCCTTGTTATAACAAAGAAGCTTGGGATCGTTTATACGTAATTATAAATTTTTAATAAATAAAACTGCTATTAAAGGCAGGTTTTCTAATGTTTATCAAATAAGGAATAACTATTAAATTGTATTACAAAGTACTATCGATGTCTTCTCCAAAATTCAAAGGGAAGAAAATATGTAAGTCTCTAATAAATCAGACTGGATCGAATTTAACGTAATAAAGAGAAAGCGTTATTCTATGCAACATTTACTCAAGAACACAAAAGACGAAGGCTGATCTTTGGAATATGGTAACAGGTAGTTTGGCGACATTATTGGAGGCGATAAAGGCCTTAGGACTTTGGTACTACCTTAGGACTTTGGTAATAATGTGAGAAGTACTCAGTTCCGATTACGCATTATTTTGTGTGAGGGAAATGAGAGATCATGAGATATATCATGTGACATTAAGGACGAATTACAATTCTTTAATCGGAAAAGGGGGGAAATTTGGAAAACCGTAGTACTATATTATTTTGTATTAAGCTTCATTGTGTTTTGTGTGAAATAGTGTTGATTAATTTTCGGATTGCATGGCGCTACGTAAAGTGAATTCTAAATTTTTAATGCGTTCATCTAATAATAATAATAATAAGTTGAGATTGTGTGAAAGGAAGGATATTACAGATAAGTTTGAATGGCGATGCAAGAAATCTGGTGAAAATGGACATTTTGTGAAACGGAGTGTAAGGAAGGGTACGTGGTTTGCTGAAAGTAGTTGAGTATGGGTGAAATTTATTAATTCTTATTACTGGATGAATAGACTGCCAGTTGACTACTGGATTTCGGATTTAGAAATTAGCAGTAGTATTGCAGCCGATTGGAACTCTTTCTGTAGGGAAGTGTGTGTGCCACGTAATGAAGATTCTAAAGATTAGGTAAGTTAGTATTTTTAATCATTTGAGGCTAATATTTTTATGCATTGTTCTAAATGTAAGGAGTAAATAAATTAATATGGTATTATTGGAAAATTGTTATTACCAATGATTTAGTTTAAAGTAATTAGGATTGTAATCTAATTTTTATTAATTTAATTTAGTGCTTATTTATATTTTAAGTAGTGTTTTTTAATTTAATATATTTTAATTAATGATCGTGATTTTGTGAGTTATAGTTTGTAGTACTTTGGAATACGTTTGAGTAGAATACGTTGAGTATTTTATGCATTTCGTGAAATTTTTCTAATTATGAGAAAAAGCAGTGTACATGGATATATGAAGAGGTGCGCATGCCATTTTGTGCAATTCTGGGATGGTTTTTAATAAAATAAGTCGAGTGTACATGGTTAATTATATTTTAATTAAATGATAGTATTTTGTAATATATGTTTGTACAATTGGTATACGTTTTGGACGTAAACGGCAGGAAATAATTTAAATATTTGACACTAGTATTTGTAACCATTTTTAAGTTTTGTTATGAATCGTTGTGACGTTTTTTGCAATTCTGGGATTTTTTAAGTAAAAATAGTCGACGGTACATGGTTACTGTGTATGTGCGATTTTAAAAACGCGGCGGAGTTTGCGATTTGCACTTTTCCAATTTTGCAGTTAAAGTTGTCAGATTAAGCAGTTTTGTTCCATTAATTTCTAGCATAAGTATATTCGGCTAGTAGATTGTTGGAAAAGTGTTGAGTAAATAAAAAGAAAAGAAACATTTCTTACTTCGTGAAGACAAATGGCGGTGAAAAAAAACAGAGGTTCTTAGCAGAGTTGGTCGCCAAATTTTCGCCAAAAAATCGCCAAGTTACCATAATCCAAAGATCAACCAAGACGAACTACTACATATACCCAAATATAGTATCACAGTTTCTTTAACAACAAATAAATGAATAAATAAAAAAAAAAATCTGAAGGTTCAGATTTTAAATTACGCCCAAAGGGGCGTTTTTTTAACGTTTTGTGTGTTACCTTTAGTTATTAAATATCATGTTTGCACTTAAACCATAAAACTCAGTTCAGTGTCCAAAATAATTTAAAATGAGCATATCTTAGAATTCCGATACAACAGTCCGCGCGCTGGAGTAAAAAGGTCGCCCCCCCCAAAGATGTGCACTCTTGAAACCTTGAGTTGTTAATCAAAAATTCGTTAAGGTTTACAAAAATGAATCGATAATAGAACGAATTCCAAATTTCAAATTTGTTTCACATGCCCATATTCGTAGAGGATTACGTCATCAAAATTCGATGGCACTTGTACGTTGTTTATCACAATGCGAGAAACATACATACATTTATGCAGATTTTTTATTATTTAATTTCTTCAAATATAATGCAGGACTCTAATATTTGGTGGCAACAGTTTGAAAAGTTAAACAACGCAAAATCCCAAAACGAAAACAGTAGTCCTTCAAGAACAAAGCCCCTTTGAACTAGAAAAAAAAAAAAAACTACTACTCCTGCCATTAATTTTTAAACTGAGAAATCATAATCATAAACTACTTGTATTTAACACAATAATTAACAGGTTAAAATATTTCTTGCTAGAAACTATGCGACGGAAAAATTTGTGCTGTTATGAATCCTTTGGTAATATTAAAAGGCCATTTTAATTTATGCATCTTTTAGATCCGATAAATGCTTAACATTTTTTTTTCGAATAATTTTTTTAAATTTGATTTCAGGACTGCGGGCATGGCTGGACATCTATGAAAGGGAGAGTTGCATTCTGGTTCATTCTCAATCCATCCAGTGGAGAAGGCATGGTGTGCCTTAAATTATATGGTCAGCAATGTGACCGATGTAAAACAGGAAATTATGAACCTGCGATGTGGTATCCCGAAGAAGTTCTAAAGGTACGTTAGCGAAAAAAGAAGAATTTTCTGATATTACACTTTATCCTGACTAATGAGATAGCATGGGCCCACCAGTGGCCGAGTGGTAAAGACGCTTAACAATGGTAGATCTGATGTGTGTTCAATTTCAGGCTAACGGTCTGGCTGCATGGGCATTTTCGTGGTTTTCCCCATGTGTAACGTGTATACGAACCAATTTTCCTTAGATAGTCCTCCGCGAAGGCGTTCGACCCTGAGGCAGGTAGACCTTGTATGCTTTGCCATAACTTAATAGACCCAACCAAACCAAACTACACATTATTAGCCACTAGTAAGTATGGAATAATGACTTAATAGCATCTGTAACAGTAAATATCAAATCATTTGAATGGTAAACTTTTTGCCCTTGGAATGCAAAAGGTAATTTACAAATATCAAAAATTAAATAATAGAGAGCACTTAAATATGATTTGGCCAGGCGTAATATGGAATTTATAAAAAAGGCTAATGAAACACGTGAGTCTGGGAAAAAGCAAGATAACAAAGAGGTTTGGTTTGAGGGCTATCTGCGTAAGGGAAGATATGCCTAAGTGGAGATTCTGGTTCGTATATCCGTTACACATGAAGAAAACCACGAAAACGCACGAACCTCGGGTCCGAATTGCTAGTGTAGTTAACGCTCGGCGGCTGGTAGGCCAGAGAAACCAAAGGAACCGTGATGTATTCATAATATAACATGTATGGAGTCTGAAACGTTTTTATTAATTATGGCAAATTCCACATACTTCAAATGTCCATACATAAGATCCCTCTTGCAGCTGGCATGTTTTTCCCCTTTATCGTGGAGTTCAATAAGACTGTGCATATTGATAATAATTAATATTCGTCAGTCTTAATTAAAATTCGTGCTGATGGTACTCACGGTAAGATCACTCATGATAAAGATCTCATGGAAAAACATAGATTCAGAATCCAGGTAAAGAATTAATAGCAAAACAAAGTTTTCTGCCTAAGAAAAGCATTGCCTTTGTTGAGGACTTTTTAAGGAAACTGACCTTATGCTATCTTTGGAGTAAATAAAAATGCCTCTCTTCCAACCTGGAATAGGTCTTCACGACTGAGCTGTTGGTTGGCTGAATAAGCTCAAAATCCATAACAGTACTGCCACAGAAAATAAATAAATAACTATAAGGGGAGAAATATTCATTGGTAGGGAGTACAGAGCAGTACTTAAAACTAATGCTAATGCATACAGAAAAATTCAACGAAATTCCATTTGCCATTTTAAGAACTGTTAGCGTTTATTTTGGCCTGAAGGGCCGAAAACCTGAAGGGCCGCATATTGATTAGCACTTTCCGAATTCGAATTCTTTTATAATCAAAGCTTTCTTGATTTGCTCCAAACTGTAAAACTGCAAATAAAGCAGGATATGAATTCTCTGGCAGTTCAACTTTCCATGATTAGATAACGTTAAGTGTCTTTGGAAGCCTGTGTAATTACTTATAAAATGTTTCGTTCTTAAAAACGCTGAACTAGTGACAGATGTGGTCTTTTTTTTCTTTTTAAACTGAATTTAATGCCATATTAAGATTAAACTTTGCCAGTTATTAGTCCTCCCTCGGGCCCACCAGCGGCCGAGCGGTAACGTCACTGAATACCGAGGTTCGAATCCTGCGAACGGGCTGGCTGCATGGCTGTTTTCGTGTTTTTCCCCATGTTTAACGTGTATATGTTACAGTAAAAATGATAAATCGGTGATTATATAAAATTACCGATGATTATACATAATCACCACTGAATTTGGTAAATATGATAAATTATTTCATATTTAGCAAATTTACCGGTTAGTTTATAAAATCCCCAACTCGTAATGGGGAAGTAAAATTCGGATTATTTGTGGAAACAAACCAAACCCATTTTCTATGGGGGGAAAATCATTTATTTGCATTTACATGCAAGTTTACTTCTTAGATGTATTAGACTGTTTTAGAATTACAAAGCTTGCCAGATTTTTTACATTTGCAATTATCATCTAATCACCACTAATTTAGAAATATCCGTCGTAATGGTAATTGATGACTGTTATGATTAGGCCAGTAGAATAAGAGCAAGTTTTTTTTTTTTTTTTTTTTTTTTAGTTTACTACTCAGAAAGATATTTTTGGTTGGACAATGGCGTAAGAGACCACGAATTTGCAATATTTTATATTTTTAATTAAAAAGTCAATAATGGTTATTTTGGTCACATACATTATTTCACCTGAAAGAAATTTGATAAGGCCTGACAGGTGTGGTGAAATGAAAAATGCAATTTACATGAGCTGTAATATTAATTTAATTTTAACATTTAATTTACATGTATTTTACATGTTTTGGATGAATTAGCTAGTTCCAGATGAGCTTATTCTATAAGATGAGCTTATTCTATATATTATTCCCAAAATTCATAAAAGTGGATTCCTTCCCTCTATGTATCAAATTAGGTACTGCTCGTATCCCTTAGCTAAATATATTTAGTTTCTGATTTTCACTCTATTAGACAATAACATTTACAACATAAAAATTTCATAGAGTTCGTAAAAAAGGTTAAAAACATTTCCCTAGAAATTTACTCATGGTTGCTTTTGATGTAAATCTTATCCCCAATGTTCCAGTGGAGGTGCATTAAGATGTCTAGAAACCAGACTTCGCGAATTTCATTTCTCTTGCATCGAAATTGATGAGCTAATTCTCTCACTCAACTTGTTTGAACAACACATTTTGTTTCCAAAATAAATATACAAGCAAACGAGGGATTAGCCATGAGAAGCCCCCTCAGTCCATCCTGGCTGATATCTACATGCTTATTATGAATCAAAATTGTTTGAAACTTTAAATTCCCGGCATGGTTCCCTACGTAGACGATACTTTACCCTGTTGAAAGTAAAAAAATGATTTAATAAAGTCTTTTAACAATGAATCTTTGATCCTGCTATTCAGTTCACTTTTGAACTTGAGACTTGCAATTCGCTTCCGTTTCTCGCATTCTGGTCACACGAACACATCTAACTACACTACGGTTTACCATAACCTTCATCGTTGCCTTCCACCACACTTTAAATCAGTCATCCGACAACAAAGTTAGCTCGTTTTCCTATGTTTTCCGTGTGTTCAAGTTTGCCCCTCCAAAACTAGCCTGATGAAGACTAAATTATTAAAAGCAATAGCTATTGACAGGGCTTTTCAACCCAACATTATTAATCAAGCAGTAAAAAATTCTCATCTCAACACACTAAAGACACACTCTTGTTTTAGGAGATTATAAAAATTCTGTTGTCATTCCCTTCTTTCTATCAATTAGCTATAAAGTTGCACATATTTTGCAGAAATTTAACTTTCGAGTTGTTTATTCGCCCATCAATAAAATTCCGAGTTCCATACTCAATGACCCCATTCCTGATATGAATTCTTGGGGTATTTATAGGATTACTTGCCAGTGTGGTTTAATTTACATTGGCCAAACTAAAAGAGCCTTAAAATTTCGCGTCAAGGAACATGAGGCATATGTTAGAAAAAAGAAAACACAGAAGTCTTCTGTTGCTCAACATTGTTGGTCCGAAAATCATACTTTCAATTTTTCTGCTGCCAAAATTATTCAAAAAACATCTTCCATTGGAGAACTGGATTTTCTAGAGGCATTTCACATTAAAAAATTTTTTTTTCTGTTCTTGTTAACGATCCTAATTCCAATCCATCTTTGCCTTTGGCCTTTAAAGAAATTATGTTTCAGTTCTGGTTTCAACAACAAATGGCGCCACTTGCTTATTCTTGTCCAGGCTTTCTAATCTAATCATTATTTCCTATCTTGTTCATTTGTGGTTTTGCAGCTGAGCATGGTGGTTCGGAAAAACCATCGAAACTAGTCCTGTGAAAATTTTGAAAATTAACGCTGATTTTTGTTGTTTGACTTCTGAATTAGTACTTATTCGGCGTGTTATTGTGTCTTAAGATTTAATATACCTCATAAAAAGCACTTTTTACTGCATTTTGCTGATTTTTTTCAAGCGTATTTCTTGTATAAATTTCTTTACTTTAGTAAAACGGTAAAAATTCTAAACGCAAAACTTATGAACTTATTTTTGTGTACAAATAAAGTAAAATTAAATAATACTGATAGCATATGATGCTTTGAAACAAATAAGGTAAAATTAAACAAGATCTGATAATTTTCTTTGATTTTATGGGCATTTTCAAGCAGTAGTTTTTAAGATTATTATAAGATAACAAGACGATCATTTATTTGATTATATGATCATTAATTATTAACATTACAAGATGATTATTTATTTTAGCAATTCATAAAATTCGGAGCATAAACGTTTTTGAGTGTAATGAGGGAAAAAAAAAAAAAAAAAAAAAAAGATAAACTCTGGAAGCACTCAGCAATATAATTTTATATTGCGCCCAAAGGAGCGTTTTTGTAACGTTTTGCGTGTTACCTTTATTAATTAAACATCATGTTCTTCGCAAGTAAACCACATAAAATTCAATTCAAGAACAATATCACAAAATATTTAAATTGACATATCTTTAGAATTTCCGCCTTGGAGATAAAAATGTTATTTTCTGTACAGGGTTGCCATTGCTTGCTTTTAACTCGTTGAGTTTGTTGATCAAAACTTCGTTAAAGTTACAAAATATGAAATGTATTAAAACAAATTCGAAATTAGGCCTTGCAGGTGCCCATGTTCGGGTGGAGGATTACGTTATTCAAAATTTTATGGTTCTAAATTCTGTTGTTTTTTTTTTTTTTTTTTTCACAGTGCGAGAGAAACATACATGCATTCATGCAGATTCTTCATTATTTAATTTCTTTAAATATAATACAGGGCGATAATATTTGGTGGCAACAGTTTGCAAAGTGAAACGGACATTTATAGTGAAACAAAGCAAAATGCCGTTTCGAAACTAATAGCTTTTCTGAGCTGCCGCCTCTTTGGGCTGATAAAATAAATTAACAATAAATAAGAAAACTTATGCAGAACTAGACATAAATTAAAAAAATAATCACTATAAAATACTAGCACAATTAATTATTACATTCAAATACAGTTTTTAACATTATAATAAATGCATAAAAATTATTAAAGTGTTAAAAGTGTTAATCACTATGAATGTATTATGAAATATTATTGAAATAAAACTTCTTTGTAGAATATTATGCTTTAATATTCAGATTAAATTTAAAAAAGCAGTACAAATAAGAATTTTAAGCAAAAACTTTCAAAAATCCCTTTTTTCAATTTTAGTATTTTTTTTACTTATTTATACCAAAAAAGCATAAAAACTTGTAAGAGAAAATTTTTTGTTTGAATTTTTCTATTAGTTCAGATTTAAAATATTACTTTTTTAAAAGAAGGAGATACAAATTTCCTTACAGCATAGGAAAAGCTACAAAAATATCCAGACCTGAAAGCATGCAACAGCTTTATAACTATTTAGAACATCAATTATGCTTGATAAACATGCTAAATTTTTAAAAATCAATCTCAGTTTCAAAAATAAAAATATCTAAAAATTCTAATTTGTGAAATGAGTTGCTATCACCAGCTTTTTTCTTGAAAATTATATGCGCTGCATACTCCTCTGGATGTGAGCAAGGTGACAGCCGGCAAAACGCCAAGGCAAGGGAGAAAACCCATTTGGGTTGCTCTATTTTTTATAAGGTCCATGGATACATATCAAACAATGCTAAATTAACACAATAATTAAAAGTATATATGAGATCTTTAAGAATCGAAAAATGAATTTTACTGATAGTGAAAAAATTACTTAAATATTGAACTTATGGAGTCGAGAAATTTTGTAATTGATAGTAAGTTTGAATAATTATTGGGTACATGTCACCTTGTCGACTTTGTGACCTGTGGACTAAATGTGTTGACAGTTAAGTATCCCGCAGTTAAATGTCTTGACGGCTAACTCTCTGTGTCAGCAAAATGTCCTGTCGGCTAACTGTCCGTGTCGGCTAAGTGTCCTTGTCGGCTAAATGACCTGTCGGTTAAGTGTCCGTGTCGGCTAAATGTATTGTCGGCTAACTGGTGTCGGCTAAGTGTCCGCGACCGCTCGCTCATCGGCATACTCTCAGTTCGGAGGCTGCACTCTCGAGCACTTCTTAACTGCGCATTTAGTTGATAAAACGCTTTTTCCTTCATTCCTAATTTTTCGGACGTTTTGGCTTCTCAAGTTAGATTGCTATCTTGGATAAGGATTGTTCGAGACTTGGTGAATTGAAAGGAGGCCTGGCGGTTTTGGATCGCTTTGGTAAGAATTCTATCTTTTGTTTCTTGATGAATTACCGTGCCAACGCAGCCCGTTAGTAGCTTAGGTTAGCCACAACCCACGGTGGTGGTGATGTACATAATGCAAATATTTTGTATTGTTTTCGTATGTTATTTACTCACTTTTTTGTCTAGTTTGTGTTTAGTGTTTTGCACCAAGGACTTTGTGATTTTTATAAATCATCTTGACAAAGCGAACTGTGCACCGTTTTTGTGTATAGCCAAGTTTGGTGTTATTTTAAAATGTGCTTTTCGTGTTTCTTCAACGGACTTTGATTTTGCAAGCCATCGAATTGTGTAATTTAAATATTTATGAACGTGGAAATTACTTACTCTCTGAAGTTCAGTTAGAATAATCCCAGCTAAATTTTTTTTTTTTTTTTTTTTTAATTACATGTATTTTAGATATCAGCTTTTTGCGTCTCATCATCATAACCGCTCTGCTTAAAGCAAGGATCAATCTGAATTTGACTTTATGTCGTGTGACTTTACGATGTACTTGTTTCTCCTGCCCTATGCACGTTCGCGTAGCTGCTAACTGTGTGTAAGACTTCAGCCACACACCTACTCACGTATTTACGAAGGCATTATTGCTTAAATGGACTAATTTCAGCATCTTTGTTTAAATGCTTGAACTTTCACGAAGGAATGATTTTCCTGACTTGCCACCTGTGTTTCTTAGTTTTTTCGTCCCCAGGACGGGGCACACAAGACAGTGTGCTTTTGATTAAAAAATAATAATAATAAATAAATAAAGTAAGAGCCCAAGAGCCAAGATATCTACTTGTGATTACTCTTTGTAGTAGAGACCAGACTTTAAATTTGCGATCCAGATCCAGATACAACCCATTAAGCTTTTGACAGCGTTTGGCATGAGGGGCTTATTTACAAATTAATTCAACAGCAGGTTCCCCGAGAGCTGATTCTCATCTTAAAATCTTTCCTGGATCAAAGAACCTTCTCTGTCAAGCAAGCCGATTACATCTCTAACTCCCACTCCATCCGAGGAGGCATTGAACAGGGCAGTATCCTTGGTCCTATTCTCTATTTAATCTACGTTCACGATTTCCCAAAGTTTGAAACAGATCATAACTTTCTTCTTGCCTGTTACTCTGATGACACAGCTCTAATTCAAATATCCCGCCGTCCTAATCAAGCCATCCTCAAACTCCACGAAAAAATGTCTACTATCGAAACATGGTGTACCAATTGGATAGCAAATATCAATCCTGAAAAATCTGCAATACTACTGACTCGAAAATATAAGCATAAAGATAGAATCACCAACTCGGTTTCTCTCTTCGGCCAAGGAATCCCCATAGTAACTAAGGCAAAATACCTAGTATTACATTCAACAAAACTTTCACTTGGTCTAACCATATCAACGAAGTCTAAGGAAACACATTCGGAATTATCAGAAAACTTTACTGTCTTTTATCGAACTCTTCCGGACTCACTCCCTCAAGAAAGAAGAAAATCTTCAATAATTCGTCCGATCCTCACCTACGCTTCCCCTGTATAGGCGAACGCCAAGAAATCAGTGATAGGAAAGCTGCAAATAGTACAAAACAAATTTCTCAGGCGCCCTTCTTCATTCGAAACAAAAACCTTCACCATGATCTCCGCATTGAATATATTCAGGACTTTATAAACAGACTAAATGCAAATTTCTTCAAAAAAGCTACAACAAACACCCAAGCAAATTTTTCGAATATCCTCGCTTATGAAGTACTCGAAGAAGATTACTTTAATAGACCATACGCTGCACATATCATCAATATGATCAACGCAAACATTTAAATTCACCTGGACTCTTATCCACAGGAAATCATCTTTTCACATACGAGAGGACTTGAATTTCCTGCAAGCCTAAGAAAGAGAAGTCTAGCCCTGCGTTAAAGTGCGTAACTACAGTCCAAGAGATTCACGGTTCGAGGGCAAGCCGTAAAAATTTTGTGAAAATATTACAACTTCACCTGCAGATGACTCAAAGAGACCTACAAGATTAAGAAAATTATTTTGACGTCAGTTCTAAATTTTTATCTGCATTATTTCAGCAAGTATAAAATTTTTCATCACTCGCCAATGATTCTGGCTCTGTCACCCTTTACCGTCAAGTCCCCTTTTAGCCTCTTCTAATGATTTCCTGTTACAGGGCCCACATGATTTACCTTTAATACCATGTTCCTTCGGGACATCTCTCACGCTACTGAGAAGTACTGCCACAGTGCAGTAGAAACCCAGTATAACACAAATAAGTATCTAAGTACAACACATTTCCATATAGAAAGTCCTCAATGAAGGCATCCCTCCCCTTAGGTAGAGTAATCACATAAACCAAACCAACCCCACCGCTATATATTAATTTAAACCTAAAAGAACCCAAATGCTTTTGAAGAGTAGCATCTGTTCGCTGTAAGGAAGTATTACATACAAACAACTGAAGTCACAGATTTCTTTTATATCTATTATGCCATTTCAAATCACTAGCATACATTTCTTAAGCACTTTATATTATTTACAGCACTTCTTTTTTACCAAAATGTAGTCGGACATTTTAAAATTTATAGTTTTTATTAATTGAGTATAATTTGAATTTCAGGTCTTGGTAAATATCTACAACAGGGTAGGACAAGTATATTATGGATTTCAACAAGCACCTTACCACAGAGCAAGAAGAGCTGGTAAACCTCGAACACCTCATAACAGCGATCTTTGTCAAGCATGTAAAGATGGAGTTTGTGCAGAAAGGAGATAATCTCATGTGATATATTGTAGCATCTTTTACATGCTAGTCGATTCAAATATAAGGTTGGAGTAAAAATTATACAAGCTACTGGCAAGAATGTAATTGAGCTTTCCAAGGTACAAAAAAAAAAAAAAAAAAAAAAAAAAACTTGGTATTTACTAGCCCATCAGAAAAGTGCCTATCTGTACACAGTATGAAAGAAACAAAATTTCATACTGGTGTCGTTATATAGATCTTGTAATGCTTGCACATCATTTGAATTTCAGTGCGATTCAAAGGTGGGAAAATATTTAGTATTTATCTAAGCACTCGTTTTAGTACCAAACAGGATAATTGTTTATATCTAAGTTACCAGCAGGGCAAGATTTAATAATTTACTCAACATAATTTATCTGATAAGGTATGAAGGTCCAAACATTCAAAAATACAGAAATTACTAAAAATTACAATTATCAACATGGTTTAATGTCTAAAATTAGAAGTGCTGGTGTCCTATGGAAAACCGACAGGGAAGATAAACAGGAATAAATAAATAAATCAAATGACTAATTAAATAATTAATGATTAAAATTAAATAGAGCTACGTTGCGCTCCGGCTAGAATTATGATTTATCACCCAAACTAAGAAGTTCCGGAACCGGCCGCCGGTGGGCTCTAGCGCAATTTGTGCTCTGATTATAAAGGAAAGCAAAGATTACCAACCTACTCTAATTAAAATTAAAGGAAATAAGTAATTTCTATCGTATTTTTAAATTAACCTTAGCATAATTCATTCTAAAATTATGTAAATTAAGTGAAAGAGAATCTGCCAAATGATGATCTACTATTTTAACTCTGTATTTTTTATTTGCCTATTGTAAGATAAAATGCCTGCTGCAGAATAGTGGTGTTAAAAAATTTGAACACTTAGCAAATTAAAATGCAAGAAATTAATTCTGGCGGAAAGTTGCAGGATTTCAAATTTGGCAGCTCAAAGTTTTTCTTTTATAGCATCTTTCTATCACAAACGTGAGCTAGTTATATTCACAAATATTTGTACATTTACATATTCACCAATTTTATTTTGAAAACCTTCCTCTGAAATGATTAAAAGCACGAAAACGAAACTCTATTGGCGTCCAGAAATAAAATTTTCAGATAGAATTCCAATAAAATATGTTTAAAAATATTTAGCTAAGTATTTTGCAGTAAGATACTGAAATAAGATTGAATAGCTTAATATATTTCAGTAATTTTTTATACTAAATCATTTGGTTTGATCCAATTTCTTCATCTTCATAAACCCATTCATTGGTTAATTGAATCCTAATGTAGCCAATATTTTTAAAATTATATTTCGTTATTTCGAAACATGTTTAAGAAAGAATTAAAGTTATTTCCATCGCATCCTATGGGAAACAGCGTCCTAAATAACAAAGTCGTCCTGGATTATATTGCGTTCATTATACAAGGCAAAACTGTTGTAGTACAGTGAATGTTTTTAAAAAGTGTGGAAACTGTTCAAAAGTAGAAGGGATCATTAGGAAATGCTTCAGTTCGATACGTAAATGAATAATTTAAACATAGGGCAGCAAAGTATTGTGTAAAGTTCCATTAAGAAAAACACAATATACGATTCCTATGAACTTTTTAAGGATTTTTTTTCGGGGGGGGCAAATAATTACCCTTATATTATATGAACGAATTTTTCCAAATGGAGTATGAGATTCTTGATTAAAAGATGCGCTATTTTTCGTAATTTTCTGATTAGAAACATAAATTAAATGAGTTAAATTCACTGGCAGCTTCTGATATTTAATTCGATATTTTTAATATGTTCAAATACGGCATTAAACTTTAACATTTTTAATAATTATTAAGATACATATAAAGTTTTTAAAATATGCTCAAAATTATATGTGATACTGTATGAAACTGAAATTTATGCATCTTTCTTATCAAAGGCATAAAACTAAGTATTATAAACTTTTTCTTTAAAGAATTAAATGTTAGTTTTACATGCATAGAAAGCATAAAAATCTTTATATGTGTGACAAGCAATATTTTTTACCTTATAGAATTCAGTTGTATTTTTATGCGCTTCCTATAATGTATGTTAATGTAATAAATAAAATTTATTTTAATTATGGCTGTTGACTTTAATTACTGTAATATGTAATAACATGTTTTGTTTAGACGGGCTGAGCGAGTGAGGTTTTTGGCGCAAAACCAAAGATGATTATGACGCGCCAAACACAAGATGGGATGATCAAAATTGACGAAATTAAAATACAATAAATTAAAACAGATGGACAAATGTACCAAATCCCGAGGTTGAAGTCATATAAAAACAAGGTTCAATAAAAACAAATTAAAATTCAAGACACAATCTTCAAAACAAATTACATTAAGTAGTATAAGCCAGTCTCTTTTAAATAATAAAATAAATTACAATTAGCCTTTCTTCCGATTAAACGGTCGAGAGGTAAGTCACAGCTATTAAAATATTTCTGACGAAGACTATTAAAATATGGACACTCAATTAAAATATGACGAACAGATAAACAAACATTACAATTTGAACAACAGGCTCATTCTCAGCTTTTAAAAGGTAGTTAGTTATGTGTCACTCTAGTGTGACCAATTCTGAGGCGAGTCAAAATAACTTCCTCCTTACGATGTCCAGCAAAATCCCAATGCTCAATTCTAGGCTTTACATTTCTCAACTTGTTCTTAAGCTGAAAGTCCCAAATTCGCTTCCATTTTTTTCGCATCTTCCCCATGATGACACAGCAGATGTCTCTAAAAAGGATAAGACGACTGGACAATTCAACAGCAGATTTTGCTGCGTTATCTGCAAGCTCGTTTCCTTTTATTCCCGCCTTCGCGAGAACCCAGCAGTACAAGATTTCATATCTTAGAATCATTAAGTTTATATGAATCTTGAGAACATCCACTATTACTGGATTTTGTGTGTTAGAAAAAGCTTCCAACGATTTAAGAGCACTATACGAGTCTGTATAAACTATCAACTTTTTGTGGTCGAGCCTTGAGATGTCCAAATGACTATAATATATTGCAGTTAGTTCAGATGTAAGGACTGAGAAAGCATGGTGCAAGCGTCTTCCCTCAATGTGATCTTCAATTACAAATGCCATCCCGACATGATCTTTTGACTTGGATCCATCTGTATATACTGGAAGATAACTGCTATATTTATGCCTGTGCTCAGCGAAGAGTTGTCTGTAAATGATCTCGTCTTGCCTTCACATGATGCTTGAAAACATCAAGAAGCTGAATCCGTGCAATTTTCCCAAGGTGGGATTTCAAAATTCTGTACTGCTTGGGGGCGCATATCAGAGAGGGAAAGTTCCTCAATGACAGGGCGAACTCTTAAAAGAAAGGTAGGAACACAGGATGGACGTGTTTCAAATAAAGTGTTACACACATTATCAAGTAAGCACAGCTTATTGGGATGTTCAGGTTGGATAGAATATTAAAATATTGCAAAAGGGACAATTGCTCACGCCTCAGATAAAGTGATGGTTCGTTAGAGTCAACATACAGGCTCTGGACAGGAGAAGTCCTGAAAGCTCCTGAAATCCGCAGAGCCTTGATGGTGAACAGGATCCAGTTTTAACAAAACAGATGACCGAGCGGATCCATAAACAACTGAGCCATAGTCCAGTCTAGAGCGGCAAGCGCTCTGTAAATGCGAAGCATGGAGCAACGCTCTGCACCCCAGGAGGTGTTCGCCAACACTTTTAAAATATTTAGTGTTTTAGACACTTCTTTCTCAGGTTTTTTAAACATGAGAAAAGGAAAGTCAATTTTCGGTCGAACGTCACTCCTAAAAATTTTACTTCGGGCGCAACTGGAATAATTGTACCATTCAGATATAACTCAGGTTCAGGATGGAGACCTCGCTTCCTACAAAAGTGCACGCACACAGTTTTTTTGTTTGGAAAAAGTAAATCCCTGTTTGTTTGACCATTCTTGGATCTTATTCAGAGCCATCTGCAATTGCCTCTCTATGTATCTCATGTCTGCCCCTCGACAGCTAATTTGTAAATCATCTACATATAGTGATCCCAAGATGGTGGGAGGAAGTTCTTTTAATACAGAATTTATTTTTAAACTGAACAGCGTTACACTAAGCACACAGCCTTGAGGCACACCCTCTTCCTGTTCAAAAAACATCCGAAAAAACAGAGCCAATCTTTACTTGAAAAGTTCTAGCTTCAAGAAATTCTGAATGAAAATTGGTAGGTTGCCCGCGCAAGCCACTCTCGTGAAGATCCCGAAGTATACCGTATCTCCATGCCTTATCATAAGCTTTCTCAATGTCGAAAAAATATTGAGACAAGGTGACTTCTTCTTACAAAAGCTTTTCGAATGGATGTCTCTAAGAGGAGCATATTATCTACGGTCGTTCTCCCCTTTCGAAAACCGCTTTGATAAGGCGATATATAATATTCTTTTCCAAGAAGTAGACTAGGCGGCTGTTTACCATCTTTTCAAACAGTTTGCAAACACAACTGGTAAGTGCGATTTGCCGATAGTTGGCAAGATTCCTTGGATCTTTCCCTGGCTTAGCAATAGAAATGACAAGAGCTCTCCTCCATGCACTGGGAAAATCACGCTCCTTCCACACTCTATTGTAAAGAGTGAGAAGGGCAGTCAGTGACTTATAGGACAGATGCTTTAGCATTTCATAATACACGCCATCCAGACCCGGACAAGACCTATGTGTCTGCAACAAAAGCTCTCTTTAATTCAAGCCATAGTAAAGTCTCTATTGTAAGGCTCAGATTTGGAAGAGTTGAATGCGATGGGATTTATTTCAGAGTGCTGCTTGATAGAAAGAAATGCAGGTGAATAGTTTTCTGCTGGAAGAAACGGCAGCAAATGTCTCACCAATAGTATTTGCAATTTCTTCTATATGGAGCTAATCACTCGGCCATCTTTTTCCAAAAAGGAAAGTGAGTGGTCTTTATATATTCCGCATGCTTTTCGAACTCTTTCCCAAACCCGCTTACTAGGCGTAGAGGATGTTATTGAGGACACATATGAAATCCAGGAATGCCTTTGGCTCTGCCTTCTTACTTTTCGTGCATTTGCTTTGGCTCTTTTAAATGCTATGAGGTTTCGCAGAGTAGGATATCTAC